AAACTCTGAGCTGGATTCGCCACTGCAAAAGTATGATGAATGTTATGATTTTTTTTTTTGCTTCACACTTTCATGTTACATGTTAAGATTTTTTGGAACACTTTCAATATGATTCACTTAGTATGCTTAAGAAGTGTGAAGTGATTGACTTTCATATCATGCTCTGCTCACTGTCTCAGCGGAATAATATGTTCTTAACAGAGCACTTTCAATGTTTTTAGCATCTGGAATTCAAAAAGATGTCCTAATTTATTGATATCTTCACTTTCTTGATATATCTCAATTATCTGCCTCTGTAGGGATACATATTTTGTTCATTTTCATGTGTTTCAGGTTAATTCTTAATTTTCCAATGTTGGGGTTGTAGTTTTGCCATTGGGGTTGTACTTTTGAAAATTGGGGTTGTAGCTACAACCGCCACGGTATATAAAGTTCCGCATGTGCTTAAAAGAAAATAAATGATAATAATTCGTATTTCTTGATTACATATATGAAGTGTATGAAAAAAGGATCACATCAGTCCACTATAAGCGTTTTTGTTGTGATAATTTCTTATTTTTTGGGACACGTCGGACACATCCCAGGATATGTGGATTGGAATTGAAGTTGACGTTGGGATAGCATTGAAGTAGCGCTGTATGTTCCTAAGTTCGTTGCTTGATTTTTATATTCGGCTCCCGGTACTCGGGTGTGTTCATAGGTTTTCAGGTGAAATTTACCGTTGATTAACCCGGTCGGGCCCGGGGGTAATCCCAACCACCGCAGCCGGGGGGGGGGGGGGGCGTATTTCGCCCCCTGTCTAACTCCGTAAATAAGGGAGCAACGGAAACAAAAGCGGTACTAAAAGAAAGGTCCTTACGAGACGATGCAAAACACCTAAAATTGTTGACATCATGGCAATTTTCGAGGTCAGAGATCAAGGTAAAAGGCAAAACCGTAGAGAGGTCAAAACGAGATCAAAACCGTAGGCAATACGTAGAGATCTCAAATTAACCCACGCCGTGCTGGGGGCATTTTTACGCCCCCCCCCCTCAGGTTTTTCGCGAATATCTCGAAAACGGCGGCGCGCATCGCCGCCGTTTTAGGTACACCTGTTCATACATCATTTCCGCACATGTGAATATTTCAGACCCGGGTCGTTCAGGGTCAGGTCACCAGGTCACGTCAAGTGACCTTACCTCAGAAAAAGTTGAAAGGCTCGCTATAGCTACATCGACTGAACAATCACTTTGAAACTTTCAGCGATTATATGAGTAACAGTATGTATAAAATGTATATCTCGGATTTTTTATATCTGTGACCTAAGATCAGGTCAATTTTGCGACCTCTTTATTATAAAGTCAATGGGAGAAAATTGAAATGCGCATGTTTTGGACGAATGTCGTTCAAAACGCTCTCAAACATCAGTTCATTGGTAAACATGACACACTGAATCCGAAAATGCACCTGTGACCCCTCTGTATGCCCCTGAGGTAACTAAACCTGCGCACACGTTGGTTTTTCCGCGAGGCTCAAAGCTGAAAGCAAAGCTCAAAGCTCAAAGCTCTATCTTCAACAGGAACGAAATGGCGTGGGGGTGGCAACAGGAATAGCAAGAAATTGGCGCACTGTAGTGAGTACTTTAATTGTTTTATTCGGCTCTTTTTATATTTTCTTTGTATATAATTGGTTCGTGAATTGAGCTGATAATTTCTCCGCGAGATATCTTCTTATGCGTTTTATGTGACTCATCGGGTTTACCTATGTTTCAGGACGAAACTTTTGTTCACAAGAAATCGATAATACATGAAAATTAACGAAGTTCTACGTCTCAGTGTATTCACTTAACATTTCGTCTACAAGCTATTAAGAACAATGATTGAAAATTACTTGAATATTTGAATTTACTTTGCTTGATTACTAGAAATTTCTTGAAACTTGAAACAATGAAGGCAAATGAAGACATTATTATGGAACCGATTGGAAAGACGAAACGAGCTCGAGCCAGCGCAAAAAGTAAGTTCTCGAGAAAATGCAACGCTTTTAAAGAGTTAAGCCATCACCAGCAACCCTTCGCAGTGTTAAAGGATAAATTCGATGACATTCGCGCTAGCTTTATAGATAGATAGATAGTTTATTAAGACCCTCCATTGACATGGTTTTTATGGTGTCTACGTCAATGACAAATAAACAGACATTGTAAAAACGCTTAGGCAAGACAGGTGCTACATAAAAAATGACACACTGGCATAAAACAGTGAATATAAAACACATGTGACAACCGTGCCTATACCTATATGACAAGTGACAGCTGACTACCTGTGGCTATTCCACGCACTCGCCGCACGATAAAGAAAACTTCGGCGGGCAAACTCGGTGCGGACCCGGGGCAGCTGCAGCCGGCCGTCGGACACGGCGCGGGTGCTGCGGGATGACACATCGGCTCGCAGTGCGAACTGTTGGCGCAGAAGTTCAGGAGTGATAGATGAGTCGATGATGCGAGTGACGTTTGCGAGGTCACGCTCGGCGATCAACTCGTCTACGGTGGGCCACCCCAGTTCCCGTAGCGCCGCAGTCACGTGATCGCGCCGTCTAAGACCGCTAACAATACGCGCACCAAAGTTAATAGCTTTCTGGATGCGACGCTTCTGTGTGACCGTACAGCTTCCCCACACACTTAAACAGTAACGTATGTGGGGAAATACTAGAGCTTCGATCATCAGCTGTCTTGTGCATCTCGGTAGCTTATGTCGGATCCTGGCCAGGCACACCAGCACGCAAAAGCACTTACGAACAACACCCGTGATGTGTTCATCCCAAATCAGGTGAGAATCGATGACGACCCCCAGAACCCTGACACTGTGGTTTGGTTTAAGCTCATCGTTTCCAAAATGAATCGAGAATGTTGAATCAAGATTTTGACGTCTAGATTTGATTATTATCAGTTCAGTTTTAGCTGGGTTAATTTTCAGACGATTTTGGGTGAACCATCTCAGTCCAACTGAGAGAGAAGTTTCGATGCGGTCCTTCAAGTTTTGCAAGTTTGTATAATAGTCAGTGTCAAGGAACTGGGTGTCGTCAGCGTACATGACTAATTTACCATGTGGAATGTGCTGAGGTAAATCATTGGTGAAAATCAAAAACAAAATCGGCCCCAAAATCGAACCCTGGATCACTCCATGGGACACGTTCATAGCAATTGATCCACCTCTCACACATTGTGTGCGTCCTCTCAGCCAGGCCGAGAACCATCCGGAGTCAATCCCGTACCAACCGAGTTTGTCCAGGAGACGGCCATGCTCAACGCTGTCAAAGGCCTTCGACGTATCAGCGGTGACAAGTGACGTCACGCGGCCACTATCGATGTTCGTCACCGCGTACGTAACAGCATCGAGCAGGGCCGCCTCCGTGGACAAACCCGGCCGGAACCCGTACTGCTGGGGACACAGGATGTGGTGCTCGCTTAAATACGTCACTAGCTGGGAGCAAACAACTCTTTCACACAGCTTGGCGACAACAGGCAACACTGATATGGGTCTGTAATTGTTTGGGTCGCTAATGTCACCCTTCTTGTGAAGCGCAGTCACAGTGGCGGCCTTCCATGACACAGGTACGTCACAACTAACAATAGAACTGTTGACTAGCGCCAGAAGCTTGGGGCCAATCACTGGGAACGTTTCACGCAACATGTGCACAGTGATGCCGTCTGATCCGCATGCCCGCGAGGATCCCAGCCGCTGGAGCGCCGCAGAAAGCTCGGGGAGAGTGGCGGCCCTCGGTCTGAATGCACCCGAGCACACACGTGGCGGACGGGGTGTCAGTCTGTCCCCGGTGTCCTCCGCGGCCAGGGCGTCAGCCACGTCAGGGCCGACTGACGCGAAGAATCGGTTCAGTCGATCTGGCCACCCGTTGTCTGCAGCATTCAGGTCGGTAGTCCTCGGTTCGGCCTTCTTTGATGCAATCAAAAACTGTCTGATGCTCTTCCACGTTTTGGGTCGCGAGTTTCTGTACAGAGAGGCATAGTGGGAGGCGCAGGCTCGATTAATGGCCACTTTGACGGCGTTACGGCATTGCCGAAACTCTCGGTCAGTGTCATCGCACGGGATGGTGTCTCTGTCGATCCGCGCTTGGTCTCGAGCCGCCATCGCGTCTGTCACAGCATCATCATCCATCCAGGGGCGGTGTCGATGCTTCATTTTGACGGTCTTCATCGGCATGTGCTGGTTAATCACCGGGTCCCACACGCGTAGAAAGCCGTTCCATTTGTCGGTTATGGAGTCGGCACGGTCGACCTCCGCCCAGTCGGCCAGCAGCAGGTCGAGGCAGAGGGCAGCAGTGTCGACACGGCGCGTGGACCGCACGGTGCATGTGACGGGCACATGTCGTGTCTTGGTGTTGGTGATCGAAGCAGTGATAAGGTCGTGGTCGCTAATGTTGCAAGGTATGACCCGGGCATTGGAGGTCAGGTCCGGTCTGTTCGTTATAAGGTGGTCGAGAATAGACGGCGACTCTCCGGGGTGGGTCGGCTCGGTTATCAGCTGATGCAGAGAGAGTTCGGCAAGCTGCTGAAGGTATGTTGTAACACCCGGCTTGTCGGGATGGGATACGTCGAAGTTGATGTCCCCCAGCACGTATGTCGGTCGACCTTGAGCCAGCACGTGCGAATTAGATAAGGCGAACGATCGACTCATCGAAACGATTAACGAATACGCATCGCACGGTGTTCTCGACAGCCTATTGCAGGAATGTGACGAGTATATGAAAGTAGTAGAATCGACTTTGGACGAAATACGAGCAATTCACGCCTCTCATGTCTCAGAAAATTCCTCTTCTTCAAGGCAAATTCAAGTAAAGGCTCTAGATGCTCCTCGGTTTACGGGCGACATTCGAGAGTACGCAAATTTCAAACACGATTTCAAGAGACTTATGGAACCTGCGTATGGTAAAGACGCTTATGCCCTTCGATCTTGTTTGCTAGGATCGGCTTTGCAGACCGTAAAGGGAGTTGCCGATGATTATGACCAAATGTTTCAAAGATTAGACAATGTCTTTGGAAATCCTCGGAAGTTCGTGGATTCTATTATATACGACATCACGTCGATAAAACCGGTTCAAGAGGGTGACACAAAGAAGTTCGTTAGGATGGTCGACACAATCGAAAGATGTTGGCTCGATTTGAAACGTACAAATTTAACCGAAGAGATGGATACTATCGCAATGATCAGTATGGTCGAAAAATTGTTGCCGCCCACCCAAAAACGGGAATGGATTTTGTTAGTGGATTCAACTGATGTATCAAATGGTATGTTTGAACGCCTTCTAAATTATCTTCTTCGAGAAAAACGAGTCATAGAATATACCGAACAAGACATCCGAACCGAAAAAGCGAGAAATGTTCATCACACTTTAGCAAATCCAGCCCAAGAAACGTCATCATCAAACATAAAGCAAGAAGTTGTAAATTATGCGTCGGGTAGCACTCAAAATCATCGATCTCCGGAATCTCGATCGTGGTGCTGGATTCATAAGACGCCCAGCCACTCAGTGGAATTTTGTGCAAAATTCCTAGAAATGTCGGTAGCAGAACGGTCTGAAGTTGCAAAGCAAGCAGGAGCATGTTTTAAGTGTCTGAAAACTAGCAGACACATCGCCAAAAATTGTCTGAATTCTAGCCAATGTACGGTATTCGAGGAAGGCCAAATTTGTGGTAAACGACATCATCCATTATTTCATCGAAAATTATATTCAGATACGGCTGTAAATCAAAACAACGAAGTACACAATGTCCTCGGCAATGAAGATCGTCCTATCTTGGCAGTCAACGCGATCCAATGTAAAAATCAGCGCATCAATGTCATGTGGGACTCGGGTGCCAGTGTTTCACTCATTACTCGTCGTGCGACCCAAAGACTGGGGATAAAGGGTAAAAGTACAACACTTTCTATAGTAAAAGTTGGAGATGACCACACGTCTCTCGACAGCAAAAAAGTAGATGTTCCGCTAGAAGACCTGAAAGGGAAAATTTGGACAGTTCCAGCATACGAAATTGATGAGATTACCGCAAATTTAAATCAGCTCGACGCAAAACAAATTCAAAGTCACTTTCCAGAGATTGACGCATCGGTAATCGCGAAACCTAAAGGCAAGATCGACATGCTAATAGGCGTGGACTCTTGTGCCATCATGCCTACAGTCGTAAGAACCGTCGGGAATAGCCAACTCCTTGAAAATCAATTTGGGTTATGCGTCAGAGGCTCTTTTGAAAGGAAAAACGAAGATAGACGAGCGACATGTGCAATAAGATCTGACCCCGACGAAACTAACGTCAAGACGCCACTTCATATGAACATAGAAGAACTAGGATCAACGGAAAAGGAACTGACAAAAGACAAAGGACAAAAACCCGACCACGAAAAGATAGATGGCGACCTACCAGATTGCACGAACGGTTTGCACCACAATCTCCCGCGACCTCGTGAATACCCGGTTACCGCTGACATCCTTAAAATTCACAAGTCAATACATCTCCGAAACTGTGGCGACCAACATACACATCAATATCTGAAACGAACCGAAACACGAACCGACATCGACTTTGAAGAAAACCGAGCCAACGCCGACCGCTACGCCCTCACAACATTTCGCTCACGAAACCGACTCAATGGTGTAGTCAGCCTTACAATTATAGACAAGTGCAAAAAACGAAATTCCGAAGAAAACTGCTATGGTGATTGTTTAATGAAAGCAATAACAAGGGGAAGACATGATGCGACCAATATCGGCATAGAGACACAATATATTTCGATAGAAATAAACTGCAAGATCAAGGACTGTACAGTAATTGGACTATTTGGATCGAACACAAACGCAAAGGTGCCAAATTTGATACGAAAACGACTGCTTGCGATGACATGCGAAGCAAATCCGAACAGTTATAGACTCGATACGAAAATGCATTTATTATGTAGACGACAAACCGAAAGAATCGAAGACCCGTCCAGCAGAAGTAGCACGAGGAGTATTACGACTCGGAGGCCCAAGACACGATCAGCTGACAACGAATACTGGAGAAGATCGAACATCGTGATCAAATGGATAATAAATCGTCTCATCTCACTCTTGAAATTCGTGAACCAATCGGACACTGGCGGGGGGAGTGTATCGTGAATTTGATAGATTCGCGATCGTCAGTGGACCACATCCAAACTCCGCGCGAGCTGGTGCACTAAATTCTTGTAATGTGAAATATTTTGTTGATCATAAAAGTGGAAATTTAGGAAATTCAGGAATAGCAAGAAATTGGCGCACTGTAGTGAGTACTTTAATTGTTTTATTCGGCTCTTTTTATATTTTCTTTGTATATAATTGGTTCGTGAATTGAGCTGATAATTTCTCCGCGAGATATCTTCTTATGCGTTTTATGTGACTCATCGGGTTTACCTATGTTTCAGGACGAAACTTTTGTTCACAAGAAATCGATAATACATGAAAATTTAACGAAGTTCTACGTCTCAGTGTATTCACTTAACACCCTAGATTTGGCTCCTTCAGTCTCTGCCCCCCCCCCCCCCCCAGTGAAAAATCCTTAGACGAGGCCCCGGAAAGGGGGCCATACTATCTTTTGCCCCCCCCCCCAAGACATAAGTCAAGAAAACTAAAAAATAAACATTCTCAAAGTTCCTATGCTGAAACACTGAAATATTGCTTTGATGATTGAGTGACCTCGGGGCAAACGTGAAAAAACTCGCCAACCCGAGTCAAAGTGGCCTGTGCCGGCGAGGGTTAACATGTAGGAGAAATCGACATGATATCACATTTTTATTAGCATTCATAGGCACGTGTTCTGTGTTGTGTACTGGTTGGTTTTAATAGGGTTGGGACCTATCTCCACACTCTGTATGTTTTGGTAAAATAAGAAAGCTGAGAATTTTTCATGATTTAATTTAAAATCATTTTGTTAAAAGAATACCTAGTTAGCTCAGAAATTAATTATTTGTGACTGAAAACAACTTGCTTCTGATTGGTCGGGCTAATCATGACGTCACATGTAGGTATATAACTGTCTGTATATGTTACAGACCGTATGAAAACCCAGTCCGTTTGCAAACGGCCTGGCACAGTCAGGCCGTTTGAAAACGACCTGAAAAAGCCGGCCGTTTGCAAACCGCCTGAAATATCAGGCCGTATGAAAACGGCCTAGGCAGTTTGAAACGGCCTAGACAGTTTGAAAACGGTCTAGTCAGTTTTCAAACGGTCTGGCGAAGTACAACCTCTGAAGATTGAACTTCATGAATCCAGGTTGGTCGATGATCAGGCTGCATCCATGTGAATGCTTGCGCATTCCATGCCGAATGACTCGTCTACATACGTCGAACATTTTCTCTGCTGATGCTCAGCCCGGCCGTTTTTCGACAATATTACTAATTATACAAGTTCACGGTCCGCCTGTGTACGGCCATCCAGTTGATGGAGCCTGGTGAAGCCACTACTGGTGAGGTCTGGTGAAACGTATCACTACAAGACTCACCGATTATTTTGCGGCATAAAACGCCGGAGCGCGCAATGGACATCAGAGTTCACATCAGTGGCGCGGGAACCGGGGGAGGGGGGCTAGCGGGGGCTGAGCCCCTCCAACTTTTCGGCTGGGGGGGGGGGCTCGTAATGTATTTGAGCCCCCCCCCCCCCCAGCTGGAGGAATCGAAATCGAAAATCTACCAACATAATTTCAAAGAGTCATACATAGGCGCGGGAACCGGGGGAGGGGGCAGTGGGGGAAGCTTGCTCCCCCCTCCTCTGGGGCCGTGGGGGCGGTGCCCCACAACTTTTCATGAGGTTAGAAACCGTTGGGGCAGCTTGTCCTCCCCAAATTAGGGGTTGTGAACTTGTGGGTCATAAAGGAAGAAAGCATGTAAGTGAAAAATCCACCTCTTTCACTGGCTCGGCAACTCATTTGGCAGATTAAAACCTTTATCCCAGGTTGCCAAAACGGTAGTTTCTTCACTCAGTTGAGACGGAATATCTGACTTTTTTGCAAATATTTTCGTTTTTTTTTTTTTTTTGTTCAAAAGGCCAAGGTCTGAAAAATAAGTGGCCTAAAACCGGTGAGAAAACTAGATTTGGGGGTACCCTAGGTTGATCTCCGTTATGGTCCAGCCCCCCCCCCCCCAGTCTGGAAGAAGTTCCCGCGCCACTGGTTCACATTAGAGTCCTTACCGCGCCCGGTCGACCGCCGGCGGCTGTCCGGTGGCGTACGCCGGCAATACGAGTACTTGACCATTGCGGTGGAAGGCGAAACTTTGAAGTCCGGGGGAAGCCCGGGTCGACCGGGCGCTATACGGGCCGGGTCTCATTTCTGCTAATCTCTTCCTGACCAGGCCTTCATTCATCACGGGGAAAATCAGGGAGAATTTTCCAGAACTAGCGAGAATCATCGGGGATCACGAACGGTATCGCGATAACGAGACATGCTGAAGATAGGCGCTCAACAATAATTTTCCGACGGAGAATATCCGAGTGACAATATTTTTCCGGATGCCGCCAATGCACCTCAGGATTTCATGGTGCCATGTAATGTCATGAAACGGTCGTGCTTCAACAAACCTAACATTGTCCAGCTGTAACTTTATGCAGACCAGATTGTTTTCAAAATGCCTAGACCGTTTGCAAACGGCCTGGTGTCTGGAAAGTTGTCATACGGCCTAGACGGTTTGCAAACGGCCTGAAATTTCAGGCGGTTTGCATACAGCCTGGAATTTCAGCCCGTATTCAAACGGCCTGATTTTTCAGTCCGTTTGCATACTGACTGGGCTGTCCAGGCCGTTTGCAAACGGCCTGAATCGGGCCAGGCCGTTTGCAAACGGACTGAGTTTTCATACGGCCTGTAACATATATTTGGCCCAGTTGAGACATATATTTTCTATGTATTTTCCTATGGTAAATCGGGTCCACGTCAAAACAGCTAGTGACTATTGAGCTAGTGACTTTTGAGCTAGTACAAAAGAGCTAGTGCTTCAGAACAGCTAGTGACAACACAGCTAGCGCCAAAATAGCTAGTTATGCAAAATAGCTAGTGCATTAAATCAGCTAGTGACTAAACAGCTAGCGTCAATATAGCTAGTAGAGCAAAATAGCTAGTGCTTCATCATAGCTAGTCATAAGCGTAGGAACCATGGGTGCAGTGGGTGCAGTTGCACACACAATAATTCTCCAGTGGGTGCAGACAATGTATTCTGCACCCACAATAATCTGGAACAAAAACCCCTTTTCTCATCAACACTACTTCCCATGCAGCACAACAAATTCAGGATATTTTGCCCACTTTCCACCTTTAGAAGCGTTTGCTACTGTGATGGTCTTCAAAACTTACATTTGCGCTCAAGTAAAAAAGGAAGCAACGGAACACATGTGACTGAACACATACCGATGACCCACTGTCAAAAGTTTTAGCCCGATACCTATCTTCGAAAATGGCTAAGTTAGCCGCATTTAGGTACTTTTTGCGGTAGTCAATATTGACATTATCAACGCTTCTAAATACACTTATCATCGGTAGGTACCTTTTCGACATGGTACACCCTCAAAGCTCACAAGGAGCCTCCGCTCGGGTGCCGCTCCCTACCCCCTCCCCCCCCCCCCGGCTTCACCGGCCATGGCTGGATTTCTGCACCCATGCACCCACAATGTTCCAGCCGTTCCTACGCCCATGTAGCTATAGAAATCGCTAGCGTCGACTAATAGCTAATAAGCAAAATAGCTTATTCGTAGAGCAGCTATTATAGATTCTTTCCCGACGAAGAGTCCCCACGGGTAGAAGGAGCAGAAGAGCACCGTAGTTTGACAAAATTATTTGGAATGCTAGGAGGGCAGAGGACGGGATCCCTAGGACAAACAACAAATTAGAAGCGGGGCACCGGAGAATTAAAGAGATGGCATATCGCGGGAAATACATATTTACAGTCATAGATATCTTGCATTTTTGAAGCGAAGTGAATGGGAAGGGAACAGCAGGTCCAACGAAATTGCTACTTTGACGATAGCTATTTCGTCACTAGCTGTCTTGAGGCACTAGCTCTTTATGCTTCACTAGCTACTTTGACGCTAGCTGTTTTGTCACTAGCTGTTTCTAAGCACTAGCTATTTTGCGTCACTAGCTATTTTGACGCTAGCTGTTTTGTCACTAGCTGTTTTGAGGCACTAGCTGTTTTGTACTAGTTCAAAAGTCACTAGCTCAAATGTCACTAGCTATTCTGACGTGCACCCTGGTAAATCGGAGTGATTGGTCGTGTTTTCAGTGTCTCCTTATTTTGCGCTGGTATTGCGTGGCTAAGAAATTTTATCAAGAATAGCATATACTAAAATGTTCCTTTAATAGTGGAGCTTCAATATCTGTTATTTTTATTGGCAAGCGAAAACTGATTTCGCTGTTATTTGATCTGGAAATTACTCATTTTCTAGGTCAATATTCAAAATATTTTACGGGAACAAGTTGGCACTTCTCTTGATTTTTGCACTCAAATCGCGTGCGATTCAACTGTATTGGAACTTGCATAGAAGCTTGGTGATTAATTAACTGCGTTGTTATGGCACTGTTTGCAAAGCATGGATAATGAAACTGCCTAAGACTTTAGCTACATAGCAATGCCTCAAGCAATACGCAGGAGGGACAGAATTCAGAGTCCGATCGAGAAGAATCGGTGCAAATGCTACGAGGACCAGGCAGCTCTGATACGATGGCTAGTCGACTCACTCCATTAGACCAGCTGATTCCTGACAGCACCGACTCAGATGCAAAGTTGGAGCTCATCTTCCAAGCCAGAAACCAGTTCTTTGATTGAAGATGTGATGCTGCCTCTGTTTCTGCTTTGTTGGCCACTTTGGAGTTGGCGGAGCTCCGCTCCTTGCGTGAGCGGCAATTCGCCTGTCATCCAGAAATAGTTCCTTCGTTTGCTGGCCGTTCCCTGATTAGGTGCAATACGGGGAGCTGTAATCAGGGAAGTAACCTTCCATATGAAAGGGGTGCAGGTGCACCCCCGTCCCCCATCCACTAGAAGTGCACCCCCATAGGCTAAGCGGCGCCCCACACGCCGCCCCACACCGATTAGCTCTAGAGCAGATGCGTGGGTGATTTCCCGGCTATATACATTCCATCTCGGCGTCGTGATGCTTGTGGGCTTGGAAAATGTCCATAGGGTAGTGTATGGGTAGGGTTGAGTTTAATAAGGTCCTTACATTTGAAAGGTTTGAACAACCCGCAATCAGCACAACATACCACAAGTTAAATAAAAAACTACCAAACTCCGCCCAACTAATATTAATTAACATTACAGCCATACTAATGGCCTAAATAAAAATATATCTCAAATCCTAACAGTTCTCGCGGGTGATGGCGCCATGAGTTGCTATTATCCAAAACAGATGCAAATAAACATGTTTGTATGTTATATGTATGTATGTTTGTTTTGAAAACGTTGCAGCGGCGATGGGAACTGCAGTCTTAGATCT